AGACGAGTGGCGTTAATGGCTGATAAAATGTGATTTAACTATAACACCGAAATATCAATGTTTAACAAAGGAGGATATGTAGCGTATGTTGCACTGATTATAATTTTACTGCGAACTGCAAAGAAATGCAAGCCAAGTCGTGTTTTGATGATTGAGTGGTGATATTCATAACATCGTAGTTAGCAACAAAATTTAGTCGAAAGTATGAAAAAAAAAATCAAGTTGTAAGCCATTATAATTATACGATGGCTTTAATAAAAACATCGGTATTCACGTACGCCAATTCCCTATCCACACCATCCCACCATACATGCCATTCGTTATTTTTTAGTCGGGATCATTTGCGGTGCCTATCAGGGATCATTTCCGGTCCGGGATCATCTGCGGTCCAATTTGGTGATCATTTGCGGTCCTGGGATCATTTGCGGACCCGTACACCACGGCCATTTTTAAATCCGCTCTCCAGAGTGGAAAAAAATAAATCCGCAGAGAATACGATAACGTATGGACGGGTGAATCCGGATTTTTTCGAATCCGATGACGTACCAAAATCGTGTTCAGTCTCTTACCGAACAATAAACCAATATGGCGGCATAACGTGCAAATTTGGAGCCACTATCGCGCGCTCTATAATGCATGCTCTGAAGACATTTTATTGCAGAGGAGCCCTGGGTACTAGAGTGAATCCGGATACCATTGGATGCGTGTGGATGGGCGAACTCAATTTGAATACGCTATGTGTGGACGGGGAAATTTTCGAATCCGGAAAGAAAAAGTTGCGGATTCAAAAATATTCGGATACGTGAGGACGGAGCCTAAGTTAGATGCCATCTGGTCAGTTTCGTGATCGCTACACTTTTTTAGAATGGGTTGTAAGCAATGGTAAAAAAAAAAGTACTGTTAGCAAATCAGCAAAAACACAAGGACGCATTGTGTAACTATTTCAAGTTTTCAAATTCACGATAAATTCCCAGCCAGGAATTACATGTACCTCCTACACTTAGTTGATGATATCTTTGATAAGAGAATGGAACTTTAATCTAATCTCACCTAAAACCTTGACTGTTCTGTGGATGCTTTCAGTTCCTTCGTCGTTGTCCTTATTTACACCTGTCACCTTGAATTGGCAAGTTTTGCCTCTGTCCACTGTGATTTCGCAGGAAACATCTGTAGTAAACCTAACTCTTCCCCATTCATTCCATTCACCATCTTGATTCTCTATTCGTTTGTACACTCTGTAGGCGGAGGCGCCTTTTACAAGGCTCCAACTTAAAGGAATCTTGTCTCCTGATACTTCTTCAGGTAATTTATTTAGTGTTACAGCCTTGGGGAGATCTGTTAATAGTTAATAAAAAAAACACATTTCTTTCTTAACACTTTTTTTTTTCCAAACCATGTGAAACAAATAAGGTCAAATGAGGCCTCGAAAACTTTCTTCTAAATGGCATTCATTTTTACTGCAACCCAGTGGGAAGTTACAACCCCATTTACAGCCCAATAAACAGTAAGACAAGAAAATACTGCGCAATAGCCATGATTTGAATACAATTAAGCAAGGCTGATACTACGTAGAACACTTAACGCGACAATCACATGATAGGGTCCAAACTGAAAACTAATATGCAACCATTGACAGCTGTTTCGACGTTCTTGGGCCTCGTTAGCACGATGTGGCAGCCGAAAAACAGAGCAAACAGCACGTAGGCTAATTGCACATGTACTAAATGCATGGTAATAAAATGCACATGGAAATGATCTCAAAAGAAACTCCAATCCAAACGTAGCCTGCAGAAGAGGCGGATTAACGGGCTCTAGCGCGATACACTAGCGCGCGCGTGAGGCGCGAGAACGAGCGGTCTCGCGCTTCGCGCGCGCTCGTGTATCGCGCTAGAGCCTGCTAATCCGCCTGTTCTGCAGGCTAATACAAATGTTTTACACATGCACAACGCGTGACTATGAACAATAGGTAAAGATGTTTACGCTGCGATAGGGAAATGAACCTTTTCGGCTATACAGGGGCCATTGTGAATTCTATCATTTCAGATAGCTATTACGGGTTTTCAGGGGACAAATTATGGTTATAAATTCATGTCCTAGAAGCACCATATGGAAACTCCAGCACAAATTCTAAGGTCCATTCTTATCAGACAAAAACTCTCCTGCAGAAAACACATCGCCAAAGTGCCGCGTTTTACTGTTTATCGGATCTAAGAAGATTTACGATCAATACAAAACCAAATGCGACTGTGACAAGGAACCGCAAACGAACTGATTAATTCTTTGTCTCTTATCACTAAAATATCACCTCAACTATTATGCCCCTTTTCCAAACTTTCAAGTTAGCCCTTTCTTTTGAGAGTTAAATAGAATTAACACTGACGGATCCACGGGGAAGTCAATCCTACTTCAAGTGGATTGCTGCAAATACCTAAACAACTTTTCCAATACTTACATTAAGCTGCTAAACGTTAACATTGCGACTTTACCTGAAATTTATCCCGAAATGATTTGGTATCACGGTATTGTAATCAGAGCTTGATGTTTTCGTAGAAATCATTATTTTGACAGGCAATTTTCTTGTTTTTATGAACAGAAGTTTACCTTTGATGCAGTTACTTTTACACTTTTTTCAGGAGGTTTTAGCACTGCTGTGTTGATTTGGATTAATCTTAAGTATCTGTTGGTGTAGCCTACAGTGCAGGCGTTATTTTAGAACGGAACGCTTGTTATTTTATACCAGACTTTTGTCATCTTGCCGCCATCTTGGATTGTATATGTGTATTTGGATGCTTGACCGGTAGAAGATTGGTGCGGCAGAAGTACTAGATCCAAGATGGCGGCCTAATACGAAAACGTGCACTCGCGCGCCTAAAATACGCATGCAGTGCAG